ACACACACACACACACACACACACACACACACACACACACACACACACACACACACACACACACACACACACACACACACACACACACACACACACACACACACACACACACGCACACGCACACACGCACATAGTGACAACATCACGGGGGTAGTCAGGGAAGCTTCCTGCGACCTTAAAACGTCGAGAACTGATGACTCGATTTTTGCAAAACGTGGTAAAACCAATATCTTCCCGATTTTTTAAAATTTTCAATTTTCATAGCGGAAAGTTAAAAAATAATATCGAAACAATTTGGAATAGGAGAAAACACGCCTCCAAATATTAAACAAAGATTTGTTTTTAACAGTTTACTATGCTATTATAATAAATGCATTTATTTATATAATAACTATGAAGGTAGATCTAGATATAAAAACATAATAATTCCCAAAATTAATGAGTCAAGATACTGCAAAAACCCTTACTACATTGCGATCGAATATTTTAATCAACTATCAACTGAATACAAAAATTTAAATATGCGTAAAAATTCTAGTAAAAATATAATAAAAAGATGGCTCGTTCTGACAAAAAATTATTTAAAGTTTACTTTATAGATACAATTTGTTAATGAATGCATACTATCGCAATGGTAATTTATGTATGTCATATTGTTTTTTGAAGACAATGTCTTTCCTTTCCCAACTTATACACAGATAAAATTTTTGTCTCTATGGGATAAATATATAGTGTATTGTATATTTCTTTTGGGAAATACATAAAAATAATTAAAAAATATAGAATAGTTATATCAATAAGAATAAATTTTATCATACATTTCTAATGTTCATTGGCTATACTGAATGCACTTAATAACAATAATTTATCACTCTTCAACTTATGGAGTTGAAATTTTTTTATAGTAAGTAGTAACTTAGTGGTCAAAGTAATTATTCTGTAAGATGAGGTCGATGGTTCATTTCTACTCGAGAGTATTTTTTCTCGAAAAATATTCTATCACTCTTCATCTCAATACTTTAATAACTACTTTTTATATTACATCTTAGTATTAAAAATTTAGCTTTACATAGTATTTAAATCTCTAATATTATACATATTAGTGGTTTTAAATGAATGTAGTTGCTGTAACGGTATAAATGGTGATGACGACGGTAATTGCATTTTGATCACATTTTACACAGTTATGGTAATACTTACTCGTACGAATTCAAAGTCTCCTTGCGTAATACAAAAGGTAACTGCAATACTGACCATAAATGAATTAAAGATCTTAAAGTCAGCATTGTAAAAAAAATGATAGTGACTTATTGTTACTTAAATTTGAGAAATTCTTGTACAAATTAAAAAAACAATAGATTACCGATGCTTATATTGACAGAAGATCGAACTGATACGCAGGTAACAAGGGTTCGATTTCTAAATAGAGAAAAAATATCGTTTTCATTGTGGAAACATTTATTGTATTTAATAAAATATTTTTAGAATAATAAAAAAAAACATGCCAACCGTATTGAAAAAAGTTGTTTCGAGAAAAACGCATTTAAAGTCGGCCTACCATCTATTTTTCATTCGTTTCGGCTGGACTGGCTTAGACAGAGCATTAAAAATTTAGCTGTTAATCCGAAAATAACCCGAATGTCGAAAAATTTTCTGAGAGGTGAATTCTTGAAGATCTAAACTTCGAAAATATGAAAAAATCGATTTTTTCGAATTTATAAATTAAAATACTCGCTTAAATAAATTTAACTATCTTAAAAATTATTTTAAAAAATTAAGTCATAACATTAAAGTTCCTTCAACACTGTGATTCCAAATTATGTTCAACAGTAGGCAAATTTAACAATGAAAAATAAAAAGTATCAATTTCCTGCATTAAGCAAATCAAATGTCTCATAATAGATCCATAAATCCCGATACGATGATTCGTGCATTTGTTGTGAGAATTGGGTCATAACAATTGGGCGTTAGGTAATATTACTTGTAATAGAGTACGTCGAACTTTAGAGATTGTACTTATTATAAAGAATCCTTGGTGACTGACAATTAACTTATACTCGAAGGTTTATAATAAAGAAAAAGAATTAATAATATACCTTTCACATATATCGATTATATAACGCATACTTTATATCATACATCTAATACTGTAACATTTGATTTATTATTGCTAACTACCAGGCATACTTATTACTATTAATATTAATTTATCATTAACATATTTTTACAATTTAGATGCATAAAAAGTTTCAATGGATTATTACGCTATTAATTTCCTAGCGAATTAATAGATTAGAAAATAAACAAGAAAAACGTGTGACAATAAGTATAGCACAGAATTAAATGAAACGTGAAAGTAGTTACTTATATTGTAACAAGCCGGAAGTTGCACCTTAACATATTAGACACGTTTGAGAGAGCACTTTTTATTCGTAATATCGATAATCAAGTGAATGGCTATTAGTTAGTTAATTTATTACTCAAAATAGTCAGTAGATTAAATAATGGATTAATCGAGTAATTAATATTTGTTAAGGTGAAATTGTTCAAAAACCATCATGGGGAAAAGATCAACCCAACAACTATAACGGCGAACAAAATTGTGTGGTACTTGACGGTGGTAGAAGTTGGCTTTGGAATGATGTCGGTTGTAACTTGGATTATTTACACTGGATTTGTCAAAGCAGTAAGTATTAATTCTAGAATTAAAAATTCATATTAAATAAGCAGAACCTGCCCACTTTATGTACAATAAATTAGTATTTATTATGAATAATCGGAATTAAATAAATTACTATTTTTAATTTTTTTTTATCGCTTACCAAACATTTGATTGATAATTCACAAATGATTTTTTTTTTTTAATATTATCAGTATATCTATATAATTTTTTAACATGAATTTGTTTTTATCAGTCATGTCTCGAATGAAAATAACTAAAGCGACTGCTTTTAATGAATTGTTAAGATTAATTATTACCGATATTTATGTATTTCTTAGAGCCTGATGATAATAAAAGTCGAAACCTCGCTGGTATAACTAATATCATGATAGTTATTTTCATTTTCTAACTACCTGAGATTTTTATTAACATTAATTATTACAATTAATTGTAATTACAGTTAATAATATTTAAATATTATTAAATCAGAAGTATTTTATTATAGTTTTTTTAAATCTCATCACCATTCGAGAATCAATTTTTTTTAAATTAGACGATATTACCTTTTTTTATCTCGAAAATTTTCTTAAATTTATTCATCAGTAGTTTGTCTGTATCAAAATATTATGATTGAAAATTAATCTAAAAGTTTACCTATGATTTAAGTCTGAGTAGTTGCTATACATTGTAAAAAATGTTATCTCAATTAAAAGTATACTTGATTAATTTAGTACAGAACAAATTATAAAACTCTATAGACTTACAACAATTATAATAAATAATAAGTAATAACAGTGATGTATAGATAGTAAATTTGAATATTTATTTTATTCAGAGCCATCGAGTTGTGGGAGTCCTGATAAATATGAAAACACAACGATTATTGGCACAAAGAAAGCAATTGGTTCAGCTATTCAATATGTCTGCCCAGATGGATATATGCTAATTGGTAATGAATCTCGTGTATGTGAAGTTGATGGATTTTGGAGTGGCAAACCTCCCACTTGTAAATACGTCGACTGTGGAACTCTTCCGGATCTAGACAATGGAGAAGTTAAATTAGTTAATAAAAGGACTACTTATGGAGCCATTGCTGACTATGGATGTAAAGACAATTACACGCTCGTTGGTGATACTAGCAGAAGGTGTGGTGATGGAGGTATTTGGAGTGGACATCAACCGAAATGTCTTTGTGAGTTTTTTCTATTTAATAATTAAAATCGAAAAATATTTTTTTATCCTTTCCGATTTTCTATAATTATTGATTTCAGTTGATTGGTGTCCTGAACCACCAGAAATTAATGGTGGGTTGGTGATAAAAACAGGTAAACGTACCGGTTCAACGGCAACTTATACATGTCAAAATGGTTTTATTCTTTTTGGAGATAATGTGAGTGTTACGTGAATTTTTTATTTTATGTTATACTTAAATATAAATTCCATGTTCTCAATTTATTTTTTATTAAATTGATTATAATTATAGTTAGTATAGCTTAAGGAGATTAAGTACCAGTATTTTATGTGGACAATAGTTGCAAAAGTAGTAAAATATACTCGAATTTTCAGGTTCTTACATGTAATGTGGGAGGAGGATGGTCTGGCAAGGTTCCACAATGTAAATTTATTGATTGTGGTGCACCAGCGCAAATCGAATATGGAGAAGTTAATCTTTTAAATAAAACGACAACAGTTGGTAGTATTACGGTATACACTTGCCAAGATGATTATTGGCTTGTTGGTGAAGCTAGACATGAATGCACAAAAGATGGAAAATGGAGCCATGAAGCTCCTTCATGCGAATGTAAGTTCACTCTTTAAATTTATGTTTATTTATTAAGTTATATTATTTAAAAATATAAGGCTGGCAATGGCCTGGTCGGCTCGGTGCTCGCTTTTCGAAAGAGTGGGACCCGGGTTCGATCCCAGCACGCACCAATATTTTTCAGTGATTATAATTAAAAATATGTGCGTTACGTTACGTTGCCAGCCTCTGGAAGTGGCAGAGATAGCCGGGCGGCACACGTCTGACTTGGGTGATCACACATTTAAGCAACTTGAATGGGTGACCACTCTAATCAACGTTGGCTAGCGCGAGGGATCTCTGCACACTAGGACAGGGGCCTAATGCTCCAGTGGTCGATAAAGAAGAGTTTCTTATCAATCACTGTAGACTTAGCCCAGCTCCGACTGTAGTATCATGGGTTTTCTCTGTGGTCTCCCCATGGTTCTGTTCCAACAGCCTGAGAAGGTGAGGTTCAGGGTGAATACGGTACAGAAAGTACAAGTCGATCCACAGCAGCAATAAAGAGGGAAATATAGATCAAAAGATATAAAAGTGGAGATATAGAATGGAGATAAAAAGTGGGGATATCAGCCTTGTAAAAACCAGATAACGGTATACAAGTAAAACTCAAAAATAATATTTAAAAATATAATTTATATATTTCTTATCTTTTTACGTTTTTCACACACACACACACACACACACACACACACACACACACACACACACACACACACACACACACACACACACACACACACACACACACACACACACACACACACACACACACACACACACACACACACACACAC